AGGTGGTGGGAGGGGTCCTGGAGAGATGCCTTGATTGGAAGATGCAGGGGTTTTCTTAGAAACAGCTGGGGGATTCTTGCCAAATGAAGACTAAAAAGACATTAATTAGGCATCAAGAGAAAATGTATGTGCCTGTGACCTTATTCAACAGCTTGTCTCTAGGGGTAAACTCCTCAATTGTGATCAACCCCTGTAAGTCAAAAGCAATTTAAGTTTATTCGTCTACTTTATTTTTCATAATGTTAATTTTATTTATTATTATTATTGGGTTTTCATTTGTTTTTTTGTTATTTCAAGACAGGGTTTCTCTGTGTTACAGACCTGGATGTCTTGGAACTTGCTCTGTGGATCTTTCTGCTTCTGCCTTTCAAGTGCTGGGATTAAAGGCATGCACCACCATTGTCCAGCTTAATTTTCTTTTTAATGAGGGAAAATTCAAAGTTCCCCACAACCACCAATTCTGCAGTCCAGTTTCTCAAATGTGGGGAATTTTCAGAGGTCAGGACATCAGTAGTGCAATGGAGGAAACTCTTCCTAAGAAAATCATGTTCTTGATGATGGTATTTCCCGTACCAGTTAAATATTGATTTTTTGCTCTTTTCTGGCAAGGTCTTGCTATGTAGTCCAGAATGGCCTTAAAAACAACATTTCAGCTCGGCAGTGGAGGCGCACACCTTTAATCCCAGCACTCGGGAGGCAGAGGCAGGCGGATCTCTGTGAGTTCGAGACCAGCCTGGTCTACAAGAGCTAGTTCCAGGACAGCCTCCAAAGTCACAGAGAAACCCTGTCTCGAGCCCCCCCCCAAAAAAAAACAAAAACAAAAACAAAAACAAAACACATTTCTCCTTACTTAGCTTTCCTAGTTGCCGGATTACAGGTGTGAGCCACCATATCCAGTTTTATTTTATTTTTATTTATTTTTTTGAGGCAGGGTTTCTCTGTGTAGCTCTGTAGACCAGGTTGGCCTCCAACTCACAGAGAACTACCTGTGTCTGCCTCTTGAATGCTGGGATTAAAGGTATGCGTCACCACAGACCAGCCCAGTTTTATTTTATTAACTATTTTTAAAAAACATGTATTTAGGGCTGGAGACATGGCTCAGAGGTTAAGAGCACCGACTGCTCTTCCAGAGGTCCTGAGGTCAATTCCCAGCAACCACATGGTGGCTTACAACCATCCATTATGAGATCTGGTGCCCTTTTCTGGTGTGCAGAATGTTGTATACATAATAAATAAATAAAGTCTTTAAAAAAAAAACCACGTATTTAAGGCTGGGTGGTGGTGGTGCATGCTTTTAATCCCAGCACTCAAGAGGCAGAGGCAGGTGGATCTCTGAGTTGAAGTCCAGCCTGGTCTACAGACCGAGTTCCAGAACAGGTTCCAAAGCTACAGAGACACCCTGTTGGAGTCGGACAAGACAAGCAGAAAAGCATGTATTCATTTTGTGTGGATGGAGGGGTACCATGTACCACAACATGCATGTGGAGGTCAGAGAACAACTTTCAGAGTCAGTTCTCTTCTATCTTATGGGTCTCTGGGATCCAGCTCATGTTGTGAGGCTTGGCAGTAAGTGCCTTTACCTGATAAGCCATTTTGCCAGCCTCTATTTTTCTGTTTTATTATTTTCTTTCACTTTAGACACATGACTGTGCTGACCTGACTAGTTTACTTTTTAGAGCTGTGTTCTTGCCATGTCACTTCACCTGGCCTTAAACTTTGGGCTAAAGTAAGTTTCCTGTCACAGCCTCCAGATTTTTTGTCACTCTCTTGGACTTCAACATTTACATTTTTCAGAATCCTCGTCAGGTGGTGGTGGCGCACGCCTTTGCTCCCAGCACTCAGGAAGCAGAGGATTTTTGTGAGCAAAGAAAGTGCCAAGACATCCAGGACAGTTACAGAGAAACCCTGTCTGGAAAAAGAAAAGAAAAATAAATCAGAATCTTCCCACTGCTGACTGTGAGAGCACACTCCTTTAATCACAGCACTAGGGAGGCAGAGACAAATGGATCTTTGTGAGTTCAGGCTAGCCAGGGTTACATGATGAGACTCTATCTCAAACAAACAAAACACAAAAAATTCAGGAGGCAGAAGCAGGTGAGTTTGAAGCCAATTACAGGCCAGTTAAAGTTACATGGTGAGATCCTGTCTTACACAAACAGCAGAATCCTCCTGCCTCAGCCCCCTGAGTGCTAGGATTATAAGCATGGTACTGCCATACCCAGCTTTGACTTCATGTTTTATTTTTGTGACACTGGGAGTCAAACCCAGAACCTTGTGCTGACTTGGTTTCAGTAGATCTTGGCACAAACATCAAAGGACAAATTACTCAGCTGAATCCATCAGAGGGACAATGCTCAATCCATCTCATTTTATGGAAGTAGACAAGGAGCCTTGTTTAGTCAAAGGCCACTGTGTGAGCCAAGATGGAGAGGGATGCTCAGGTGGGCCTGTAGAGATGCTCAGTTACTGAAGTCCAGGTCCCCGGAGAAGGCCTAGAAGGCTGGAGAGGTGGGCCAGGCAGTATCCTGGGGGTGTCAGGCTGACATGTTGAACTTGGTGAGTGAAAATATCAAAGAGCTAACACAGATAGATGAGGTGGTCAGCACTGGTTGGGAAGATGGAATAGATGCCAACGAGAGCCAGTTTTCTACTGCATCTGTGCTGGTAGTATTAGTACAGGGCTGATGGTTCCTAGGAATAAGGACCTGTCCTTGGGGCCCCATTGGGGCAAGCTTGTTAGCCACATTTGTTGGCTGTGTTGGGAACAGAATGAGCAAGGTTAGAGATGGAAGAGCGGGGTTAATCTGTGCTTTGTGCCCAGGTCCCTGAACTGGGGTCATCCTCCTTTACAGGATGGCAGACAAAAAGCTGGAGATTTGTGAGGCTGGGATGTCAACACATTCCTGAAATCCCAGGACTTGGAAGACTGAGGCAGGAGCCTCATGGGTTTGAAACCAGCCTTGATTACATAGTAAGAGCCAGTCTCACAGAATAAACAAGGGAAGTTGTTGAGATGACTCGGCAGCTAAAAGTGTCTGCCTCAAAGTCTAAGGATCCAAGATCAATCCCTGGAATTCACATAAAGGTGGGCAAAAGGCTGGAGAGATGGCTCAGTAATTAAGAGCACTTACTGCTCTTCGGGAGGACCAGGGTTCAATTCCCAGCATCCACAATGGATGACTCCTAAACCACTCCAGCTGCAGAGGATTTGTAGAAGCTATTACTGTCTTCCTCAGACATGACATGGCATACACGAACACACACACACATATTACATACACATACATAAATCTTTAAAAACAAATAAAGGGCAGGAGAGATGGTTCAGTAGTTAGAACATTTGATGCTCTTACAGAGAGGACCTGGGTTCAGTTCCCAGCACCCACATGGCAGCTCATAACCATCTGTAACTCCAGTTCCAGCATGTTCAAGAGACACATAAACTAATGTAGGCACATATACACACCCGTGGATTAAAAATAAATAGTAGAGCTGGAGACATTGCTCAGTGGTTAGAGAGCAATTGTTGCTATTACAGAGGACCAAGCTTCTGTTCCCAGTACCCACATGAAGGCTCACAACTGTAACTCCATTCTCAAGGGATCCAATGCCTTCTTATCTCTAAAAGCACCAGGCATGAGTGTGATGCTTAGACATATATGCAAGCAAACCATGCACTTAAAGGAAAAAATTTTTAATTATTCTAGCAAAATGAATAGAATATTAATCAATTTCAGGGGGTTAAGACAGGGTTTCTCTGTATAACAGCAATAGTTGTCCTGGAACTCACTGTGTAGACCAGGCTGACCTTGAACTCAAGTTCTGCTTGCCTCTGTCTCCCAAATGCTGGGATTAAAGGCACATGCCACTATCACCTGGCCTAATCAAAAAATTTTAAAGGCACGAGCTGGAGAGATGGCTCAGCAGTTAAGAGCACTGCTTACTCTTCCAGAGGTCATGAGTTCAATTCCCAGCAACCATATGGTGGCTCACAACCATCTGTAATGAGATCTGGTGTCCTCTATTGGCCTGCAGGCATTCATGCAAATGGAACACTGTATACCTAATAAATCTTAAAAAAAAAAAATTAAAGGCAGGAACTAAGGTTGTCACTCAGTGGTAGAGCTCCTGCCTAGAATCCCCAGTGAGGGGCTGGGAGTGTGGCTCAGTGATAGAGAACTTGCTTAGCATGTACAATGCCTTGGGCTCTGTCCCCAGCATTACCATAAATAAATAGATAAATAAATAGACAAGTAATACAAAGGTAACAAAAAAGGTAGCACTTATGTAAGTCATCTCCTTGAGATGTGAAAAATGAATTTTGATTTTTTTTTCCTTTGATGCTGTGACCTAAACCTAGGATCATGCTTGCTGCACTCTGGGTTTTTCTAAAACAATTCCAGAGCACCTAAGAATGGAGGTTAATGGAGTTTCATTGCTAAAATGACTCCATCTAATAAGTAATGAAAGATTTGCATGCAAAAAGAAGCATTTGACTGGGCAGTGGTGTCACATGCTTGTCATGCTTTGATCCCAGGCAGGCAGGTTTCTGTAAGTTCAAGATTAACCTGATCTACACAGCAAATTCAAGGCTACATAGTGAATTGCTCTGAGAGAGAGAGAGAGAGAGAGAGAGAGAGAGAGAGAGAGAGAGAGAGAGAGAGAGAGAAAGGAAAGAAAAAAGAAAGAATCAGTTGACCCTTGACCAGTTCTCCATATTCTAAGGAAAGCTGTTTTGTGGGCTGGGGTGATGGCTCGGTTGGGTAAAGGTGCTCCCCACCAAGTCCCAGGATCTGTCTGGGTTCTGTCCTCAGGTCCCACAAGGTAGAAGAAAAGGACCTATTTGTGCAAGGTGTCCCCCGGCGGCCACACTCAAGAACTGGCGAATGTGCACCTACACATTGTCACACAAATGAATGTCATGTGGTTTGGGTTTGTTTTTCAAAACAGGGTCTTACTATGTAGCTCTGGCTGTCCTAGAACTCACAGAGATCCACCTGCCTCTCTGTCTCTTGAGTACTGGGATTAAAGGCGTGTGCCACCAGGTCTGGCTTTTTCTGCTTTTATGGGGATTGACTTCAATTTTCCAGGCATATACACAAACATCTTCACCCACTGAGCCATCTCCCTGGGCCTGAATGTTGATTCCCCCTTCGTTTCTTTATTTATATTGAGAGAGGGTCTCACTAGTAGCTGAGGATAACCTTGAGCTCACAGTGTAGCCCAGCCTGCCTCTCCATCACCAATATCTGATGTTCAGCAGTCCTGCACAGGGGTAGGGACCCATTCAGGCTTTCCTGCAACCTGAGCCTAGAAGCAAGAGCTGGGAGAGGAAGGAGGGGCCACCTGGCCTCATAGCCCCTCCTCTTCCACGGTGCCCTTCCTCTGGGGCAGCTCATACCTCTACAGACCACCTCCACTCTCCCTTTGCCTCTCTGGGCCCCAAAGGTCAGGTGGGGACAGGCTGGGGCCACCAGCAGCCCCATGGCCAGAGACATCGCCTCTTCTCTCCTTCTAGCTACGGAAAGACAAGAAGAAAGGACTTTGTTAATCTGCATTTTGGGGGCGCTTCCCCCGCCTAAACTTCCCAGGGCAGAGGCAGTGATTGGAATTTGGATTATCTGGAGACAGAAAGAGCCCAGAACATCCCAACAGGTATGAATCCTTCGGTGTTGCTGGTGTGTGTGTGTGTGTGTGTGTGTGTGTGTGTGTGTGTGTGTGGGGAATTTGTGCGTGTTGCGGGTGTGTGTGTGTGTGTGTGTGTGTGTGTGTGTGTGTGTGTTTGAGTGTGTGATGAATCCTTCAGTGTTGCTGGTGTGTGTGTGTGTGATGAATCCTTCAGTGTTGTTGGAGTGTGTGTGTGTTCTCTGTGTGCAATGACAGTTTCTTTTTAAGATTTCCAGAACCCCTCCTTTAAAAAAAAAACCAAAAACAAAAACCTCTTAATATTGTATTATTTCTTTATGTGTGTGCAGGCACACCACACACACACACACACACACACACACACACACACACACACACACACACGACAATCATCACAGGGCAATTTGCAAGAGTGTTCTCTCCTCCCAACATGTTGGTCCCGGGAACTGAACTCAGGTCATCAGATTAGGCCACAATCACCTTTACCTGCTAAGTCAACTCATTGACTGCTTCCTGAGACCCTTATAACTGCTTTGTTCTATGACTCCATAGCCACAATTTCATTCAGTATTCAACAGCTATTTCCTGAACACCTTGTGCCGTGTATAACTATTAAATGAGATCTTGGAGGGTCTACAGATGGGGACATTCATGGCAATAGCTAGCACATTAGAGCAGGCCAGACACTGGGGAAAGCTTTTATGAGCATTAGCTCATTTAATGTGGCAACAAGTATAAGGGAAAGAATATTAGACCATTTTGCAAATAAGAACAATGAGGCTTTGCAGCTTCTCTCAGCACCAGGGCTGAGAGGAAGCCTGAGAACATTCAAGAACCCTGGATCAGTAGTTAAGAGCACTTGTTGCTCTTACAGAGGACCAGGATTCTTTTTTTTTTTCTTTAAAGATTTGTTTATTATGTATACAGCATTCTATCTGCTTGTATGCTGCACACCAGAAGATGGCACCAGATCTCATTATAGATAGTTGTGAGCCCCACATCTCATTACAGATAGTTGTGAGCCACCATGTGGTTGCTGGGAATTGAACTCAAGACCTTTAGGATAGCAGCCAGTGCTATTAACCTCTGAGCCATCTCTCCAGCCCCCGAGGACCAGGATTCTATTCCCAGCACCCACATAGTGATTCAAAGCTGTCTATAACTCTGGTCCCAAGGGATCCAATGCCCTCTTCTGGCTTCCCCAGTTACCAAGTACATATTCAGTGCCCATATGTGCTTGCAGGCGAAACACCCATACCCATAAAACAAGAAAACAAATACTTAAAGACCCCTGGACAGCAGATGTGGTGTGGCTGGTGCTTATAATACCAGCATTCAGGGGTCAAACAGGAGAGGGAAGAGTTCAAGGTCACCTTTGGCTACATAGGAGTTTGAAACCCTCTCTAAAAAACAAACAAAACGGCCTCGGCCACCTAGGACAGGGATACAAGGCAGTCTCTCTACTGCTGTTCCCTGAGAATGGGACAGGAACAGACTCTAGGAGTCACTTTGGAGCTGAAGGTGTGGGGCAGAGGCTGGATTCCCTGGCATGCTGTGATCTAGAGTCGGGCTGTCTAGGATTTCAAGTCCTTATCGTGGGGAGAGTGGCTTTATACTGGCTCCTATGCTGCAGAGACAGGGAACGCCATAGGGGCAGCTGAGGATTTCTGGCAGGGGCTTTGGAAGATATCCATCCCTCAGGAAGGGAAGTGAACTGGCCCGGCATGGGGGAAGGGCTTCCTTAGAAGTGGGTGGGAAGGCCCAGGAAACTATGTCTCCCCATCAAAGAAGATTGGCTTGTTGTTTTCATCCTTCATTCAGT